TTGATCATATCTATAACTATGCATCAGTTGAACAAACCAAGTTGGTCAGCCTAAAGCACTTTTGAGAGAGATTGCAAGCAGCGATAAATAGTAATATCATCTTGAAGTAATAGCTTTCTTATCCAGTGATCTACTTTGGGGATTTACAATGAGAATAGATGTCGTTCTCACCAACAAATGATACATTAAAGAGAAGACTGGTTCATCAGTAAGACCATGTTAGAAATACACTATACCTTCCTATTGTTGATCCTTTTGTACTACAGACAATAATTTAACTTGCCTGAGCTAAGTCGATGTACCAGAGTTTTAGAAACACAATCTTTTATTTGAATAATCTGAAACCGGTTGAATAGCAAAATACGATCACCTAATTTCACTCTATAAATGTATACTTTCCATTTGCATCTTTAACAAACCATTTTGTCAATGCTTTGGTCATCATTCTGGATCTAAGTTTCACTTATGAATATTCAGAGAACACAGTTGAAAAGTCTTTAATTTATACAGGTAATAGCATGGAATACATGTAAAGCAATAATCTTATTTCTTGCTAGTTGAATAGTGGGTTTCAAAGAGGTCAGTGACAGAACAGGATAAAACGTTCAAAAGCAAATGTTCCTATGTTCTATGTGTTTGTTTTTATGAATACTAGGCTTGTCAAAATTCAACTACACCTTTTCACAGGACTTGCCTTCAATATTTTGTATAGCGAGTTACTAAAGAAAATTCTAGTCGAAATTTGCGTACGTCGATTAACGAAATCTGTCGGTCCTTCTATTGTAAAGAAAGACATTGGAAATTATCATATTGCAACGCGGTATATTCATTATTTATTATTATTATTATATTATTATTATTATTATTATTATTATTATTATTATTATTATTAACATAGGACCAGGCATTACTGCGTTAAGGTCCGAGTTGCCACATCTCATATCACTACATCAAGTAGAAAGGTAGTGAGGTGAAGGATGAAGATAAGTGAATGCAGTCAAAAGAAATATAAAGTAGGAGAAGAAAGGAAAGAGGAGTGACAAAATGGTGAGATTCGGTATAGCGTTGTTAAGATGAGGATAATGTGTGTATACATCTGCACCACTGACATTGGTTCTGAGCCATATCACCTAGGGTCTCCAACCACTGGTTCCTCTTGTCCCGTGAACCCCAACCGGCTAGTCTGCATCGTCCTACATGGCTTAAACCAACAGTCAGAGACTTCATACATTGGTGCCACGTTTTAGTCTGGCCATCTCGAGCCTTTTTCCAGCCTAGACCCACCTCAGCCAACATTGTGTGACGAGGCAATCGGTGGCTAGGCATATGTAGTACGTGTCCTAACCATCTCAGTCGATGAAGGTTCATAACCTCGTCAAATGACTTACCTCTTCTCCCTAAAATTCTACACCTGACTTCTGTATCACTCACATGGCGACACCACGGAATACGTCCTATACTGCGAAGTCAACGGTGGTCAAACACTTGAAGCCTATTTATATCTTCCACTTTCAATGGCCATGTTTCACAGCCATACAGTAGAACAGAGCTGACTGCTGCGCAGCACACGCTACCCTTAATAGACAAACGGATGTCATGGCGGCGCCATAGGTGGCTTAAATTGGCAAAAGCCAATCGAGCCTTTTATATCCGTGCAACGCGGTGTATTAGCACAACTCATTCAGTTCACATCAACATATTGAGGTGAAGTTGACTAGCAAATGGAGAATGAAACGCAGACAGTTTCTGCAACGGTCTTGAAGAGTTATCAAATAGAGAAAAGCAAAAAACGTTAATGACGATCTTTGATACTCTTTGGTGTTGCTTGCATTATCCCGTCGTTGACTAGACCCAATTTGTTGGTCTGTTATAGCATATGGGTTCCTTCACAGATGTCACGATATTGCCCACATATTCAGTTTTGATATTATTGATCATATAAACTATGCCCGTTGAATTAGAAATGGTCATCATGACTCGGTGGCCTAATGGATGACTCCCTGACGCTTGACGCGACCAGTCTCAAGGTTGGGTTTTAGTGGCGGCAACATTGCTCATCGGAAGGCAGGCACATCCAGCTGACCAGTCCTAAATGGGACAAAATGTGCGTCCGAAATTATATTGCCAGACACTAACCACCATCAATAACAGATCTGTGGTTTTGCTACTTAAATGTAGGCAAAGCAGGAATGGATCTGCGTCACTTCAATCCGTTTTGAGCCGTATGATCGACAATTTTCAACAACAAATTTTGATTATCGCGTAAGCTACAACCATGAACTTGGGTATGTCTGACTTCACCCCAGGGAGGTTAGTTAGCTGGTTGACCTGGAGTATACACACGATATTGTTCTGTTGGGTGAAGACGCTGAGAAAACATAAGGTCTTCTGAGCACCTTGAGAAGAAATCTGGGTATGCTAGGCATATGTCTCGAACCTGCTGGATGTAAGATAATGCTTCAGGACTGGTTTGAAACCACTCCCAGTTTAATAATAGGGGGTTAAGTGGTCGGATATTTCTGGTTGCTGATGTAATTTCAGCTCGGATACAGAATACCCCTTTGGTGTATGCCAACTTACTTCACCTGTGGCGTCTTCTGGTGAAATATCCAACTGTCTATCAAAGGATGAGTAAACTTCGCTGCAGTCCGTTCTGTCCTTTTGTGTGGACGTGAGACATGGCCGTTAAAAGAAGAAGACATGAAGCAATCACAGGGTTTCGGTCACACATGTATTCGTAGCATTGTTCGCGTTTGGTGGAATCACCGTATGAGAAATGTCGAGGTTAGGCTTGCACATGTACTACGCATGCCGGTTCACCATCTACCTCAACGACCCAGGTTGAGAGGGGATTCAGAGTGACTAGACGAAGATGTGGCACCAGTCAATGAAGTCCCTAACTGTCAGTCTGAGTCGTGTGGGGAGATGTAGACTACCTGGTTGAGATGCCTGAAACGAAAGGAATTAGTGATTGAGGACTGTTGGTGAAATCGTTGAGAATTGTTTACAATGGTGCAGTTGTATCCACTCTTTGACGTCTTTCTCAAGCTTAGATATTCTCACTAACCTTTATCTTCAGATTGTTTATTCTCTCACACGACTTTGTTTACTTTGATACCAGTCATATTCTATGTACGTGTACTTTGTGAAGCATTGTGAATTGTGGCCACTTGAATTGATGTACTTGTGTGCAAGGTTCTTCGTTGATTTCGTCTGTCTATCTGGACCACGATTAGAAGGTTAATATTTCCTTCTGCTAATCAGGATAGCAGTCAATAATCTTCACGAATTTGATATCACGCACTGCAAGTTGGTTCATGAATGTCTGATTTATATAATGAAATTCAGAAACCAGACTGAACAATAGCTATAGATCATATGCCTTACCGCCTAATATATCCACAGTCATTAAGTGTTTTGAGTCAAATCTACCTAATATCCAGGATGGTGTTGTTAGTCGTCCGCTGATCAATCATATTTACGAGCCATTAATTTGTTGCTAATAAGGAAAAACAGGATATTCAACCTAATTTAACTCATTTTCTAATGTAATCTAGTGAAACATGTAGTCTCAGAAGCCAACATGTATGACAAAAGGCCAAACTTCTACTTATCATTCGAATTTAAGCAAAGTAGTCAGTATAAATATTGTATAGCTGATAAATGTTTCATCTACTCACTGAGTTAACCTTAGTGAGTTTTTAAACCAGCTGTTATGGTTAACAAATGAATTGAAAAATATTCTCTAACTAACTTATGCTGTCCGAGAAGACAGAGGTGATGAAGATACCGCACCAACAACTCCAACAACAACAAACTCCAGTAACCATCAACGGGAGAAACTTAAAGGAAGTAACCTCCTTCACCTATCTAGGAAGCACTGTTTCAACTACAGGCGAGACAGACGAGGATGTCAAAGTCAGAATCGGAAAAGCAAGACAGGCGTTCATTAGCCTGAAACCAGTGTGGAGATCTTCTGCACTCCACTCAGCATGTGGAACAAGATACGGATTTTCAACACCAACTTCAGTCAAGTCAGTGCTTCTGTATGGTTCAGAGACTTGGCGCGTCACGAAAGGGATTTCCAATAAACTACAGACATTCATCAACAACTGCTTACGCTCGCTACTGAAGATCAGATGGATTGCCAGAAAGAATAAGCAACAAGGAGCTCTGGGAACGAACCAACCAAGAACCTATCACGCAACAAATATGCAGGAGGAAATGGAGATGGATTGGGCATGCACTGAGAAGGCCGACTGGGGACATCACGCGTCAGGCCCTGGAGTGGAGCGCGGATGGGAAGCGACGAGTTGGGCGTCGGTGCCGAGGGTGACATGGAGGAGATCGTGCGAGGAGGAATGAGAGCTTCTGGGCTGTCGTGGAACCAGGTTCAAAAGATCTCAGAGAACAGAGGTCACTGGAGACGTGCTACTGAAGCCCTATGTTCCACTAGGAACCCAAGGGACTAATAATAATAATAATAATAATAATAATAATAATAACTTATGCCGTCCATATATGGTCTGTTTTAGTGACTATTACAGCACGCTGAAACTGTCTGGACATCTATTTGGACAAGAAAAATGAGTAAATGAAAAAGAAGGTGATAATAATAATTGCTATTAAGCTCATCCAACCAGTGAATAATCAATGTAGCTATTCGATACAGAATTTTATTCAATGCCGATAACACAACTGGAATGGTAAGGATGTGTGATACGTTTTCGTTACTACCTCAACATTCAATATTGTTACCTTTATACTACGAAGTCTTGGTATTGGTAATCTTATCTATGGCTACAAAATGAAATTCAAGGTTATCGTTTATTTTATTGTGTTCAAAGGAATATTTGATTATTCATATTGTTCAGTTAACAACAGGAAAATCAATAAAGCGATCAATCAACCTGATTTTATTTCTCAATGAATCAAAGTGAATTACGCTAATAAGTAACTATCAATGACTATATATGTACAAGCTATATATTTTCACTTACATTGGAATTTTAAGGACTCCGTAGAAAATACACAATTCAATAAGACCGCCTAATGCAAACAATGAAAACATGCTTGAATGTTGTGCATTGCCAATATGAATGAATACCCAATCATTATTGAAACCTGTGATGATTTCTCCTGTATCCCACCGATACAACAGATCAGTTTAACAATTGAATCAAGAGGTATTCCCTTTTTCCAGCAACCATGTTCATCATATTTTGTTCTTCTTTCTATTGGATAAGAAATTCTGTTTGTAAATTCAGCAACCAATTTATTTGATCTATTCAATTCATAAAGTTTTCGCCTATAAAATTTCTCCAGTATATGCCATATAGACCATAGTGCATAGATAATGAAAAAGGTACCAGGCAGGGCATGTCCACCAAATGTTCCCATCTTTTAGTAATTTGTTTATGTGTTCATATGAGAATACTATTCCCTTTTTTTTTTGACTGCTTTTAGGTTATCTGAAATACAGCAAGGTGTACATAGATGATTTAGGCGTAACTGTGATATTAATAATAATGAATATGCCCGCAACCAATCAAATGTCAGCAATTGTTTAGCTGAGTAGTAAACAATAGTTTTCATTGGTTGATAGATATTATATGAACACCCACTTGTTTAAATTAACAATTGATTAAAATAATCGACACAACGAATTTATAAATAAGAAGGTATTGTATATATATACTAAGTAACCAGAATGAAGGACACAGAAATTCATCTGCTTAGGCAAATCAATGATGACCTTAACATGAAACCATTATAATAATAATTATCTATTTTTTTTAAGGCAGAACAAATATCATACCATTCATGTGCTCATTTGGTTGACGGCTAATTCGGCTGCCAGTTTAAGGTAGATATGAGTTCCAACCGAAGTTTATTTTGCATAACTGACAGAATGAATACGAAACTATTTACAGGATGATATTGACTTTATTATGGGAGTAGATTGGGCACTGAGGTAGAATGAAATTCCATTTTATTCGTTTCATTAGATATATCATTCAGTGAAACAGTATCATTTACTGGATTATAAGTATAACTTGTTGTCCATAGTCACATCAAGATAACTCTACAACTTTCAGACACTGATTACTTGATTCGAATTCTTTTCCTTCCTTTGTTATATAAGTAGTAGAATTTTCCATATATCTAGAGTAGGTGCTGAGCCATTCCTGTTGAATGTATATAATGTTTACCAAGTCGCTTGCAATGATTATGAAATCGAATACGTAGGTTACAGTAGTCGACCATAGTCAGTTAGGATGTCCAAGCACAAATTACCTAGCCAAATCACCAATGGTAAAATCTAGTAAGAAAAGAAGTGTAGAGAAAAGCTTGGCTACAGCTACGCATACAGTTACACACAACCACATAATAGGAAGGGACAGAGTAATAGTCCTTAAACTAGGGACAGACTGATAACCTATTCTTTCTTTATCAAATCAGCAATACATATATAACTATGGGAAGGGTTCCGCACCTATTCGAGATACATGGAAAATTCTACTACCTATACCTCAAGAGAGGAGAGAGAATTAAATCCAAGTAATTAATGTTTCGAAGTTGGATAATAAATCAACTAAAATGGGTTCCGCGCCAGCGCGTCATTCAGCCAAAAATTCAATTGAACTGATGCTCATTGGTGACTAGCTTCGAGAAGTATTCCCGAAGTTCCATGACAAGTCGTGACCGGAGTCAAGCCTGATGGCCGTGAGGACAATTCAACGATGACATTGGGTGGCGGTTTGCGCTATATCGTGAGCTAACAGAAGTTGGAAATATGGAGTATTGAATTCTGACCCAGTGGCTCAATGGTAACGCGCTGGCCACGGAACCTGGAGGTCGCTGGTTCGACCTGCTGGTGGGTCGTGAGTGCGCACTGCTGAGGAGTCCATACTAGACGAAACAGCTGTCCAGTGCTCCCAGGCTTCCTTTGCCTCCAACTGATGTCAGTCTTCGATGAATACAACTTAAAATGGGGTGGTTTTGATATTTATCTGAACTACTTCTAACCGTAGAGTTTCTTTTCAAAAATTCAACTATCTTGAAAATATTAGACACTTATTCAAATGGGAGCAGTTTTATCAAGTCACTTTTGTACCAACCCCAGGGGGGTATATCTTAATTTCCAAAGTTACCCCTTTATAAGTAGTATTCATCATGGACTGATATCAGTTGGGGAACCATTGAAAATCTGAGAGCACTGGACAGCTGTTTCGTCCAACTAGTATGGGATTCCTCAGCAGTACGCACCCAGTGCGTACCCCTTTATGTTAAGCAGGCTGTAAATAAATCTGATAATCTTCATAAATTTGTTCTTGTCATCACTTTGTTCGCTTATTTCCTTCTCTAAATACTGGACAGGCTTACTCACTTACTGACGGGTAAACACTGCATATAGGTGAGCAGTTAATTTCAAAATCTGGGAGGATTAGTCAACGATGTCGCACAAAACTGAATTCCAATGAAACAACTATTCCCATGGTAATACAGCCATATTGGTATTTTAGTTAGAAAGTCAACATCTTTGACCGATATTTTTAAATCTGACAGGATGAAATGACTACCATTTGTTCTCCATTTCACCGACGCTGTCGGTACCACAAAATACTTGCCTGAAACTAAAAGGAGACTGTAAAGTACCTATCAAAGATCGTAGAAAAGAATGACCGCAGACTTTGCATTGTCTGATCTTACTGTCTACTTCAACGATTTCAATTTCTTATTTGTTTTCTAGTTAGAAGTAGTTACGTTTTCACTTCAATACTTAATATTCAGTTTGTTCGTGTACTACTGGGAGCTGAGCTCTGTAGGATTGCATAGTTGACAGTAATTTTAGAGTTATTCAACACTTGTGGTTATTCTCGAAACACCCCTGAGATATCCTGGTTTCTCAAGCATTTCCACCGGGTGAAGGTTACATAAAGTTAGGCAGTGTGAGTCGTTACTTAACTATTCATCAGCATACAACAGAAAATCTAACCTCCATCTTTTCTGATCTTGACAGTCGGTCAGGCATAAACAGTGTTGTGACTGTACTGGGGACCTAATAGTTAGAGACCTCCTGAATGGGAAAGTATTTCTTACATTTGATTTTCTCAATAAATTTGAACAAGACAAGAATGATCAGATTTATAGAACAAAATGACATTCTATTTCATGGATATTCATCAACTTCCATGTGACTTAAAATTACATTTGATAGTCAAGATAAATGATGATCTATATATGATAACGTTGATCACTCTGGGTGTATTGGACATTGGTGCAGTAGGGATGATGGTACTCAAAACATATAGATCAAATTTCCTTAGATTTCAGTATTTCTCACAAAACATTGGTTAACAGGAGGTTGAACAAAGGTACTAGTTAAGACTTTTGAAGACAATTGACGGTAATATGTTCAAAGCCTCTTCAAATTTACACATATATGCATAGTATTCTATGAAGCTTAAGTATAGTATAACAGTAACACCCACTGTAATACGCCTGCGTTATCCCTTGCGTTGCCCCTGCAGAATCCTTACCCATTACTGGTAATTCCTTATGATTTCTGCCGCCCTCTCAACATATACTACTTATATGTATTCTTATCTGCGACGCCCACTACAATAGTACTAGTTGAACGAACTCGACAGTAAAACTAAGATCATATCAGTAATCTAGTCCAGTGACTCAATAAGTAGAGTGCTCGATCCGTAATATTGTTTGTTCTGACCACAGTCTGGCTATTAATATACTTTATGAAGTTCAGATATCATTTATTAAACAGATGGTTAACGAAATACATGAACATTCGAATAGCAATGAATGAAACTTGTTGTACAGATAATATACTGACCTTTACTTCAAGTTCTAATGTAAGCAAGGATGACATTAAAAAAATGGAAATTAATAATACTTGCCTGAGTATTGTGTAGTGACAGTCAAACATATGCGTTAGCAATACTGTGCTGAAACCACCTAGTTCACCTAATCAAGTTGAAGTAAGTTGTTTAAACTGTCTTATATCATGAAACAGCGAATTATTAGTCAACACAGATAAAACAGGGCTGAAGACAGAAAAAGAAGTGTCTTTGATTTGCCCACAGGTTGAATACAAATAAAAAAGATTTCGAAATATGTCGACACCGAAAATTGAGGAGACAGTTGGGTAACCGTTATGTAGTGAGTGGTACGACTACCTTCACCTTATTATTGTAATTATTTACTGCGAATTGATGTCGAAGTAATAGATAGAAAAGGTCATTTTTTCTTACCCGTTGAATGTGAGGTTAACTGGCTTTCACTTACTGGTTTCGCAGATATGATCAATTCGAGTGTAGAACTCATCTTCAACTGATATCATTCATAGTCTATAAGATCGGTATCTAATTCCACATACACAGTTTTATTTGGATATTGTAAATACTAAAAAGTAATCAGTTTTAGTCCAGTGACTGATCACCGATATTTGTAAGGAATTTGAAATGGCTTTTCACTCTTTACAGATAGATCCTTTACAATTTTTCATATATTTCGACATATATAAATATCTACTGTTGCCTAACAAAAGTGTTATTCCTTGTGAATGCCGCAATATGAACTCATTTCGCTATCACTTAAAAGGAATAAGAAAAAGATAATCCACTCAAAAATTACAAGAATTAGTAAGTCTGGTTAAATGTTTAGGATCATGTTGGATTGTATCATCGACTTTTAGTTATGGCTTGATACTGAAAACCCCCACTAACAAACGATTCCAGTCTTCCTTCAATGAAGAAAACTGAAAGGGAAAATAGATATTGGTTAACTGCAACTACATATCTGAACAATGTATAGAAACCCAAAATCTAAGAGATGCAGCGAATTTAGTCATAGAATATTGTCGAGTTAAACGATTTTTTTTCAAAATTCTCAATGAACTGAAATGATCATATCACATACAGCTCTCATATACAAGGATAAATCCATTCAACCTGAAATGTGTTGTATAATTATGGCGATGTAAATGAGCATAACAGGAAGTGAATGAATACTCATTGAATGGTTTAAGGCTAGTAAGCATGAAATCAAGAAGTCATTTCTTGTGATTAGCTGCAACTAGTGAGAATGTAAATCTTTTCCTCATAGTTTAGACATCTCTATTTACTTTCATTCGTATCATTCGTTTCTGTAGCAAAATGAGGTTAATTGCTTTAGTCTGAATTAGTATAAACACCAAATTTTATTGATTTCAAATTGATAGAACACAGTGGATTTCTTTTGGGCTTGAAATTTGTATATTGTTGGTTGTGGTTTAATTTTCCCTTAATAAACGAGGCATAAATCATTGACTCATAGTAGGTTTTACTTAAGTTCACAAACGACGAAAGTAATAAAAAGTAATTGTAAACTGAATGCAACACACTTGTACTTTCTTGCTGATCATTATACTGGACCGAATCAATAGATCACTACCAGCATATAGGTAAATGCTTACAAAACTGATACCGACAACCAATCAAATTAAATTAGAGTATAACACTGTTGTCATGTTTAGGTTTTT